CTCTTGCTCCAGCTCTGAAAAAAAAAAATTCAGGAAAAAGTCAAAAATTCTGGAATATAAAAAATTATTAAAATTTTAAAATTCAATTCACATCATTTACGAACGACCCCCATCCAATGTCTCAAGCTCTCAAATTTTATCAATTTAGAATTCAAGTTTTATAGTTCGAAAGAAAAGATACATTTGGACATAAACACACACAAAAAAGAATCTCTAAAACTATCAAGAAAGATTTGAGCATTCAGCATGATTAACCCCAAAAGCTATCCCTTTTTGAACCCTTTTGATTTTGCGACTTTTTCAATTTTACAAATTTAACTGGGAATTTTGATATGGGAGAGATAAAAAGATTTTATTTTTTATTTTATTTTATTTCTTTATTATAATTTTCATTAATTTTCATCACTTTATTTTACAATTTGTACATTTTTTTTGTGTGACTGTGTATGAGTTGAGTTCCATTGTGAGTGAATTTTTTTATTTTTTAAAAGCAATATATTGACAATCGCTTCCATATTTTATAATTTTTTTTTCAATTATCAGCTTTTAAGTATATGTAAGTAGTCAGTAATTTACGATGTATATAATGTAATTTTTTTTTATGTATGTTCAATTTGCCGTTTTACTGCTGTCATAATCGAAATACACATTAATCGAGAGAGAAAAATCTTTTAAATAAATAACCAACATTTCAGTATCATTTATAAAATTGTATGTATATAAAAACGATATCAATTTCAACATTTTTTTTTTCAATTAAGCATAACAAATTGCTATCTATTGCGAAATAAATATGTATTTTATCATTTTTCGAGGGAAAAAAATATATATGGGTAGATGTATACATAGCATTGATGCATACAAATGATAGGAAATACTGTTCGGTATTGAGTGGAGTATGTGCGGTGAATTTAATGGAAATAACTTAAAAATTTTGTATTTATGATAAATATTTGAGGGATTTTAAAATGAAAATTGTTGAAGAGCTTTTTCCTTGGATTATTATTTTAATCATACAACTTTCTGTTTACTCAGAACCAGAAATGTAGTTTTGAGGAATTGAATATGAATTTGAGAGCAAGTTTGTGGTTGCTTTGAATTGAAACATGTCTGATAGATTTTGAGTCAAAACCTTAAAATTATTTGCCATTTATTACGAATTCATGTCATTGGTGTGGTTTGAGATTTTGCGGTTTTAAACTCAAGGAACCACTAAGAGGTATTTAAATTTTCTATTTCACACCGTTTTCCACTTGAAGATTTGATGGTGAATTTTTTATTAAAAGGTGTGAAATCATTTCATTACGACAAGCGGTGATGATGATTTTGTTATTTTTTGCGAATTTAGATAATTGTTTTGGTGAGAACAGATGAGTCAATAAGTTCTTAATTCTTGGTAATATTTATGACATAAATCATTTTCGCAAAGAAATTTTGAATGTTTAAGAAGTCATTTTTGAGCATTTTTTGATAATTTTAGACCATTTTTTGGAGATTTTGATCATTTTTTGATTATTTTTGATAATTTTTATCAGTTTTTCATCTTTGATAATTAGTTTGAATAGATGGATACCTCCTCAAATGGATAATGAATCCATCAAAACCTCTTACATGCATTATCTCTATAACTATCCTACACGAAAACTCTCCAAGTGTGCCAATTATAGCATCTACTGTGTAAAGGATAGATAAAACAATAATTTACTGATCCAGTGTCTAAATAGTTGGAATATATTGAAAGCCACTGAACTAGACTCAATTTATGAGAACTTCATTTAAATATTATCCATTTTGTGAAGATCAGTTCCAGTCGTATTTGATTAGCGTGTTGATAAAAACTGAGAGTAAATTTGATCTAAAATCTTCTTTATCACTTTGGGGCCATTCACTTATTACGTAACGCTTTTAGGGGGGGAGGGGGGTCTAAGATTTTGTTACGGTTCAAACAAGGAAATTTTTTTTTCATACAAATTTTGTTACGAGGGGGGGGGGTCTAAAAAGTCATTTTTTCGCGTTACGTAATAAGTGAACAGCCCCTTTCCAAACTTATATTGACCTCGATACTCAAACTATGTCCTTATCATAATGATAAATTTTAACGTGTATCACTTTTCAGTCCACACATAATTCAGCAAATTAAAGAGCCTCAATTATAAGCCTCAAATAGTTGTTGATAATTCACAATGACATGAAATTCGTTAGAATATCCACATGATTTAATTTTCGAACATAAATATGCAGCCTGTGAAACGCAACGAACAAGTTTATCAGAAAAACCTCAGAAAAATATTTAATTTCTCTCATTTCAGTGAATAAAATTTCATTTTAATTCGGCAAAAGTAATTAAGCGAGTTTCATATCTAATTAATATTGAGTTAAGGACCATTGCATATTATGCAGAAATTCAGAGGTTTTTTTTTCCTTTAATGAAAAATACTTAAATTATTCACAATAAACCGCAAACAACAACAAAATAATAGACGTGTATTCTCATTTTAAAATCCTCATCATAATTAATCATTAAAAACATAATGCAATGTGTCATTTTAATTCACTGACTGATGAATTTCAGCTAATTAAAAAATGAATTTTATCAGCGGAAAAAGTACAACAAAAATAGCTTTTTTTTAATTCGCATTTCATCATTTATCATATTAATAGACTTCCTTGTGCATGTTGTAGTTATTTTTTTTCCAGGGGATGTTTTTTTGCGTTATATGTACTCATAAATTCATTTTAAATTTAATTTTCATTTAATTCAATTTTTTGCTCAATTTATTTATTCAGTCTTTTTTTCAAATTTAAAATTTAAATATTCTTTATTTTTCATACTTTTAACTGGATCTGCATTCATTTTAAAAATAAATGAAAATGTTGTTTTTACTTCTTTTTTTTATTTTATTTTTTTTTTTAAAAATATCTCACTACCTAGCTAGATATGAACTTTTTTTATATATATATTTTTCTCCTCGTCATCTCAATATTATTTATGCACAGTGCGCTTCACTTAGCGTAAATTTTCACTTTTTTTCAATTTCTTTCTCATTTTTTTACATTTCAGTAAAGAATGAGAAAAAATTCTTTATTCGTTTTAATTAATTAAATATTTCTTTCCTCACCAAGAGAACTCATGGTGAATTTTTTTTACAATTTTCTTTCCTTCAGTAACTTTTTAACAGCACATCTTACTGACTGAGTTGATTTCTTTTGTTTGTAATTTGTCTATTTGTTTCAGGTTCATCAAATATTGACTCTCGCGAATTCAAATTCAGTTTGGAACTTTTTTTTTGATTTTCTTTTACAAGTATCGAAGCATTTAAGTTGATTGGATTGGTTTGTGTTATTTTCTGTTTTGTGAACTTTTAACGGTTAAGGAACTTTATTTGATAGAATTCAATAGGAAAAGTCAAACGAGGCGAGTAAATTTTTATCATATTCACACAAAATTTTCAATTTTTGTGAATATACTGTTTTTTTTGTTTTTAGTGTCCTGGATGTGATAATCATTTTATTCTCCTTTAAGTGTAACTTTTCACTGATTTGGATCACTGGAAGAAGCCAAGCTATTTGCAAACTATGTCACAATTAGTCTATATTCTTTTAAACTCAATTTAGTAGTTCTCATCCTAGTTTGAACTTAACTGCTGAAATCTAGTCATCATGTTGAAGCTCCGCATGTTTAAGCAACTTTTGCAATTGAAATTGAGGAAAAATGCTTCTTTTGATAGTTAAGAGGGAGGTCATGGATCACAATTGATCTGTACGGTCATCGAACAAGTAAGTAATTTGATACTTAAGAGTGCATCCAAATTATCCAATTGCTGAAATTGCAATGTTTAAGACCTACAACTTTTCACTAAGATTCATAAAATCTAGAACAAAATCTTTTTGTTTATCTTTTAAAGTGCAAGAATTGTTTAGAATCTTTTTTACTGAGAATCTTGATCGTAAATCTTTTAAAACAATTTTTTATGCTTTTATTCTGAAAGAAAATCTTCTATAATCTTCAAGAAACCTTTCAAACTCTTCATTTCTCAAAGAAAAAAATCAACAAATTTTAAAAAAACACGAATTTTTGAATCTCAAAATTTGTTTCTGATCCTTGAAAATGCTGATCATTGTTAAAGCTTAATCTTTAGGATATACAAAAGTAAGAGCTTGAAAATAACTCAGATTTTGGATTCTACTCTAGTCGAATTGACTTGAATCATCTTTTATAGTTTTAAAAATAATTAATATTGAGTTAAAGTTCTGATTCTAGCAAAATTTACTATTAAATCTATCATAATGTTTAATTATATCAAGAATATATGACTTCTATCCTTGAAATAACACTTTTCAACCAAAAATCCAGCAAATAAATCTGTCATCAAAGGTTAAATTGTTTCGAAAAGAATAATTAATTTTTACACTCTTTTGAGCAATAACTAGTTATAACTCGCAATAAAAGAAATAAATTCTCAAGTCAGAAAATGCGCCGTCCACAATCCAACTGAAGGAAAAACATTTATAGCTTCTTTCTCCTTAATTTTATGTTACGAAACATTTAATTTCATTTTATTTTTGTTCTATGGAAATAGGATTAACATTGTGTACACGATACATTATAATGGACATTCAACTCTCGTACTTGGTTTTTAATTATTTTTTACAGCTTTACATATCTCTTAAAGTCAAATATAAATTAATCGTCGTTCTCCTCTCACACTTATACTTTTCATTATTCATTAATTAATTTCATTAACTTCGTATCTTGCCTTAAGTAAATTTATTTATTTTTTTTCTTCTGTTCCTTTTTCTTTCAAATTACATTTATTTAACTTTCCTCCCTTTTGTATGTTGTTCTTACTCATGGATGTATAAAAAAACAGACAAATGTAATTCTTATGAGTACACAATAATAATTTTATTATTTATTAGTATTCTTACTTAATTTTATTACAAAAATTCTTGTATTTATCTTTTTTTTGGGGGAAACTATAATCAATATCGATTAAAGTTGGGGATGGGGTGGGGTTAGAGGAAACATGAAATTAATAAATTTTATTATTTTATTCTATTTTACTTTTTATTTATACCTTTAACTGTCGTAATAACATGAATAATGTACAGTAAAAAAAGAGGAAAAACTCAATATTTGAGGATGATAATAATCATAATAATTAAGTACCTATAATTAATGAAATTTCCATCGACTATTGTTCCATTGCATGTCATGTTTCAATAAGAAGAAATAAAGCAAATACCAATGTAACTAAGTTGCCATATATTCCTAAGCTAGGCGAACATGCAGACGTTACTGCTGACGCAGAAGACTCCCCTGCATTTGTTAGATCCAATTTTAAATGTACGTTTTTATTTTTGAAGAAAATTTTATATTTTTTTTTTGTTGTGTGTTTGTCGATTGTTGGAGATGGGAAAGGAAGAAAGAAAAAGAAACAAATATGAATGGCAAGGAAATGTAATGTTGAGATCGAAGCACGAAACAGAAATGAATAAATATTCAATTTTTTTTTGTTCTGTCTCACTCTCCCCGTTTTCGTTTATTTGACAAGAAACATTTTCACAAATATATTGAAATTCAATAAAAGTCATGTTAAAATTTATCAAATTATACGTACCATTTATAACATGTAACGTGACTTGAACTGATGCAGAGTTTGAGGGGACACATGAATAGTTACCCGAATGTTGCTTTCTGGCGTGATCTATTGTTAACGTGCCTACCTGTAAATACCAAAATAGATAAATAGATGAATGCTATAGTGGGTGAGTTAGCGAGTCAGAAAATAAAAGAAAGGTAATTGTGTATCATTTAGCTATTACGTAAAGCAAGATGAACGACAGGGAGCAATAATGGATGAAGGGTAGTGGAAGAGATAAATGAAAATTTTCATTTTGCCAGCTACAAATTGAACACAATTTTTTATATTGCCAGAGAAATTTATGAAAATTTTCTACCCTCCTTCCTGCTTTTGCTTCATCTTATTTTCACAATTTTTCATTATTGAGGGTACATTTTGACTTCTTTGCTTGCTACCTTATTAGAACGATGATTCTGCAAATGTTGCGGATATGAGACGAAAAGGGTAGAACGAGAAATACACTTTACTGACCATTCTAACACCTGCTGGATTTTAAATTAATTTTTAACCGTACTTAAGTTTACTAATCCAGTTAAAATTCCATTCAAAACTTTACTATAAAGTTGTTTTCATTTAAAATTTTATAGTTTTCATAAAATTCTTAAGAAATATTTTGTTGATCTTTTGAGTTCAGTTTACTAATCTTTTAACTTTGCTTCAACAAAAGTTTTACTAGCTTTTAGCAATGTCTGCTCATTATTTTTCCGAAAAACTCAAGAAACCTTACTTTAGGCTGTTTCAAACTCTCAACATGGGCCAGATTTTGGCGTAACAATAATTTATTAGGATTCATGCTTTGATTTACTTCAAATAAATTTAAGGAACAGCTTGATGACAGTGTATTCGAGCTTTTGTATGTATTGTACCTTGTAGATAACTTTGTGCCGCTTGGATAAGTCTCCAAGAATTTTACTAGAACGTAGATTAAGATAATCAGATACAAAATTCAGAATGAGATTCAAACTTCATTTCATCTTCTGTTAAAAACTAAATGCAAAATGCGCTTATGCCACTCAAAAGTCAATTTAGCTTTTACAACGACACTTTATGGGTAATTCCATGCTATAATTTTGCTATAAAATTTTCTTTAAATTGATTTTTTTCATCCTTAGGCTTTACAAAAGTTAATAAGATTTCCACAGGACATGTAAAAAGTCATATGGTATATGATTTGACATTAATTTTCTATCTAAAGTGGTTAATTCGTCCAAAAAATTATATTTTATAGCGTTACTTGGTAACATTTATAGCGTTACCAAGTAACGCTCATGGAATCAATTTTTTGGACGAATTAACCACTTTAGATAGAAAATTAATGTCAAATCATATACCATATGACTTTTTACATGCACTGTGAAAATCTTATTAACTTTTGTAAAGCCTAAATATGAAAAAAATCAATTTTTAGTAAATTTTTTACAAAAATTTCTCATGGAATTACCCTTATACCAAACTCAATAAAAAACCAGCAATGACAAAAAAAGAAATAAATTTTATGTATAAGAAAAAAATCTCAATGTTATCCGGAAGGGTTATTGCTATTAAATCTGACATTTTGACATGATTGAAAAGGACATAAAATTAACTTACCGAGCTATGAGTGTCTCCTTCGACATCACGCTCGAATTGAACTTTCCAACCACGTAGATTTTCAACATAAATTTGCTGTGACCCATGATACCATATTATATATGTTGGCGGTTCCAATGCTCCTCTAACTACACATCGAAACGTAACTATACTACCAGCCTTTACATATCGATCAGGATCACCAATCAATTCTGTTCTGGGAACTAGATATATAAATTATAAAGAGATAAAATAGAGAAAATAGAAAATAAATGAATATATTGATGGATGGACACTTGAATGGATGAACATCATTGATAGATGTATAAAATCAAACAAAATAAGCATCATGAGTTTAGATACATAGAATAAAATATTATAAAATGTGGTCGATTGAGGATGAGCTTCACACACACACACACACACACACACACACACACACACACACACACATACTTAGCAGTATAAAACAGGATAGGATAGAGTTATATGTAATCTAGGGATGTGTGTTGTGTCATGACCAAATAAAATATGAATGTGAATTGCAACCAGTTGATTTATAGTTTTTAACTCATAAATGATTCATTCGAAATGATATTTTCATTCATTCAATGGTTATGATGGAATTATTGGTATTAATAAATATTGCAATGATACATGCACACATATATTGTCGCTCATATTTTTTCATTATATGTTATTACGCACCAACAACATGTAGATGAACGCGCGCACTGACTTTCGGTTCCGTCGACACTTGACATTCATACTGCCCGGCGTCACGTGCCTGTTATAAAATAAAAAAAAGTAAAATTACACAATTGGCATTAATTTTAATGAATGAATTTTTATTGACACATTACTTGTACATATTTTATTTGCAATGTCCAGATTCCTGTAGTCTCAACGAAAAACGATTGGAAGCGCTCGTCAGCAATAAATGTCATTCTGATAGGCGTGAGATAATGGAACGTTAACAAAATGTTGGGGGGAAGCAAGATCCATCAAAAAAATTCATGAGAAAGAAGGAAAAAAAACAAGATTTGTGTGATGTTAAAAAACTCAATTTTTCACCTTACAAAATGAAGAAATAAACGAATCGTGATAAAAAGCGATTCGTTCACTTCTCATTTCATTTATTTATTTGTTGGCAACAACATTAATATGCTGTTGGTTATCAATTCATTACGAAATTATTTTAGCCTATTGTGTGCCATTGAACTATTGTGCCTTAAATTATAAAACCACAAAATTAACCTTTTTCAAAATGCCTTCCATTTGACTCGTATTAGCTAGATGTGGCGTTTGGACATAAATTTTGCAGTTAATGGAATGATAACCGCAAAATTATTGTATTTTCTACATATTAGGGTAATTTGAGGAAATTATTTTCTGGTAACGTCAAAAATTTTCGGGAATGGCTTGCTGCATTGCTTATAGTTGTGAAGATTACTATGCAATGGCTCGCTTTGAATAGCTTTAAGAATTCTTTAAATTATAAAATCTTAAAAAATTATTTTTTTTGATGTTTTATTGCAATTTGAAGTACAAAATGACCACAAAGCTTTAATTCAAATTAAAATTCACTATCTAGACCCAGACGAATACTGCGAGCGATTTATGGTCCTGTGAAGGAAGGAAACGAGTATCGAAGTCGACATAATGTTGAGCTATAACTTTTATTTCATGCAATTCGCTTGTGATGGGCTGGACATGTTTTCAGACGCTCACAAGATGCCCCAGTATTAAAATTGACAGTAGCAGACTTTATGGATGTCAAGAGAGATCACGAGGAGGACCGAAGAACTTGTGGATTGGATGGGTTGAAAAGGACATTAATATCCCGAACTGGCAGAAGGTTTCTAAGGATAGATCTGTTTTCAGACGATCTCTAAGCGCGTTAATGGGCCCACGTGCGCCTCAGCCAAGGAAATAAGTAAGTAATACCCAGTTTCTAAGGCTACTCTGAGAACCTTACCCTAAGATTCAAATTTGATAACTTATTAATTGATTTGATCACCTGAGACTAGGATAAGGTGTCTAAGCTAGTCCTAAAAGTCAACCTCTTTGTCATTAAGCGAATTTGTCAGGACGAGTATAATATCTTCTTTGCCAAGTAGCTAAGAAAAAGAATATACAATCTTTAATCTTTTCTTGTAAGGAAGTAGGTTCAATTCCCAGCAGAGGCTGATGTCTATGTCATTAAACAGAAATGGCGTCAATATGATAAAACAATTGAACATACTAGGAGGTAAAAAAAGAAGTTCCTAGGCTTCGTGAGCCTTTAAAACAAACATGACAACAAAAACCATTGCTTTGATCCAGAACATATTCACGAAACTAATTCTAAGGCTTAAGTCTTCTTTAAAACTTGACAAAGGGAACTGATTAATATTTATTGAAACATCCAGCATGCATTAAAATGAACTCTTAAACAAATATTCACTTAAGTATAAAAAGGAAGTCTGATGTTCTCAGAAGGCTGTTGATGATTTTCAGACCTTTTCTCGGAAGATGGGACTATTTTAATTTTTAAAATAATTGAACTATAGAGCATACACTTCATTGTATTTTGTGAGTGTTAAACTACCAGGAAACATAATTTTCAATAAATATAAATGAAACTCGACAGAACTGATCAGAAAATATTTATCAAGAAATCTATAGATGAGCTTAAAAAGCATTCAATAAATATTTTCACATTCTGATTATGAAGCACTCAAGTGTTTTGCTCAAAGGTATTAAGGAAATTCCGATTAATGTAACATAATAAATATGTTTATGACAAGTGTGAGAACTGTACAGAATTAAGCATATTCTATGGTTTCAGAATTATTATATAATATTTTCAAAATCATAATAAATAGATAACCAACAGTCCTTAACCTATAAAAATATTTCCAACAAATTATTGTTGTTTGAGGTTGAGAAAAAAAAGTCATTAAAAGTAACAATAATGTCGTTATAATTACCTATCAACCGTTAAAATATGATCGTCTCTGACGCGAACCCATGATACTGATTTGTTTCCGAGCTGTCTAACCTATAGAAATAAGATGTAGTATATTATAAAATATATTGAGAATAATAGCGAAAAAAAATGAACTGAAGAGGAAAAATATCTTTTTTTTTGAATGGATGAAGTTTAAAAGAAAAAGTTTTTTTTAGTACAAATTTATAAACTTCTACGTTGTAATAAAAGACGAGCAGGAAGTGATAGAGGAAAAAATTGTAGAATGAGAGAAGGATGCAAACTTTCTGTCCAGAAAGAGGGTCAAAGTAATTGTAATTGCTTATTTATATCAAATCCAAAGCTATTCAGACCAGACTGAAACTTTTGCCTCTCTCTTTTGTATCTTTTCCATACCAAGAAATTTTTTCTTGTTTTTCAAGAGAATGAGCTTTTGATCTAAGGGAAAATTGGAAGTGAAAAATAATCGAAAAAAATATTAAGATGGAAAGAAGAATGAAAAATGAATAATAATAATGTTCACTGGCTCGTCTGTTGATGTTGTAAGGAGTGTAGTCAGGCATTTGTTGTAGGTATGTATCCAAAAAAAAATTAATCTAGTGCTAATTAAGTTATGTAGATGATAGTGCTGATTTAATTCTCAAAACAATCTTTTGAACTACAAAAAATTGTCCATCGACGAGGGTTTTGACAGTTCAATCGACCCACTGCTGATAAATTGAGTATGTGAACAGCTGTGCAATGTTTAATCCAATCCCAAGAAGTTAAACTGTTCAATATTGATACATTTGTATAGAAAGCCTGATTGGCACACATTAAAATGCTGTGCACAGGATGTTTAAGTGGATAAAATCCTTAGAACCTTGTGTCCACTTTTCTGTCAAATTGCATCCTTTTTCCACTTTTTTCTAAGCATAATATCCACTTTGCTACCATATACATAACATATTTTGTATATTTATTGGCTAGTATGCTTATAACACATGCTCCGAGGTAACCTAAAGACTGCATTGCCAAAACTGAGTTCATAAGACATCCTCATATCAGATCAATCTAAAAACCAACTTAATGGACCTAATTTCATATATTTGCATGCCTCTCATCCTGACTACACCCCCTCACAACTCAGACTATGCTAAAGTTATGACTTTTATCAATATAAAATTGGCTACTTACTTTGCATGGTAAATAAGCGTGTGTTGATATTTGTGTGGTGACATTAGTAATGCCAGTACCATCAAGATATGGACCAGTGATAAATGTTGTTTCTTGATTGATTGGAAGTGATGATGAGTTGGCTTCCGCACGAATCAAGTCTGTTGAACCGAAAAAAATAGAAGAAAACAATTTTTTATAAGGGTATGAGAAATAGAATAAAAAGAAACAAAGACATTCAATAAATATATAAATACAGACAGAGATGAAGGAAGAAACAAAAGTTTAGTCTTTTGTCTCCCATTGGAAATTGAAAATTCATTGATTGCTGTTCTTGACATATTCGATAAAAGTTTTACATCAACAGAAGCAGCTTGAGTTTAAAAGTTAAAAAAAAAATTATTTTTTTTCGACAACATCAAACTCAATATTGAGTGACGCATGTTAACTACATGCACATTCTTAAAATATTCTGCTTAATGTACATTTGTTGTTAGATATTCGACACGATTTCCAAATAACTATAAAATTTTAATGTAGTTTACTCTATCGTTGATGCCTTGCTTGATGCAAAACAGCATACAGAGTGAGTGAAAGAGATGAAATGAATGTGCTGAGGGGATAAAAAATTTGTTTTAAAAGAGAGAGAATTTTTTTTTGTATTTCTGAAATACAAGAAAGAATGGTTATTTAAACATTTTTTTTACATCACAACATGAAACTTTATGTATCTGCATATACACATGTCATGGAGTTACAAATGTGCATGAAAGCTGCTGTACTTGATATCTGGGAAAAGCATAACCCAAATGAAAAGAAATTTTTTAGCGTAATTCTCTTTTTTTACGTAATTTAATCGAGGGTAATTCTTTTCCTGGTTACTGAACTGTACGAGATGGATTTCAAAAGGATTTTTAATAATCAACTGGATGGTGAGCAATTATGAATCACTTAATGGAATTAAAAATTATTATATAAGTGCTAGTAGTAAGATGTTACCAAGAGTTTATTAAAAGGAGGAAAGGAAGTCGATTTCCTGAATAGCACAAGTTGGTTAATCAAATAAAAATCTGGCACTAAGCTGATGTGAATCTAGGGTGGTGCTGGACTTAAATTGAATCCAGAATAATTCCAGAGTATTGACAGTTTAGTGCTGGATGTATTTCGATTAACCAACTCATGCTATTCGGGTTTACTTTAAACTTCTGGAAACTTTTTAAGGTAGTTCAATTTTCTTTACCAACGTTGATGGCTGCAAATTTTTTTTGAACGTCTCTAATCATACAAACCGAGTAACCTTAACCAGAACAGCGTAAAGCACCCTTATTCAACTTGACATTCCCTGGGATCGAACCAAGGTCGTTAGGATTGATGGGTCAACACTCTAACCACTATGCCACTGCTGCTTTTTCGCTGTCAATGGCTGTACCGATCAATTGTGATTTATTGTAATGATTTCAGTGGCTCAAAAATCATGACTCATTCTATCATCCCTCACCCCCCCCCCCCCCCCCCACCCTCACATTTGTAATATAGTAAGAATGTTTGAACCATCCCTCATACATAGGACGTCAGATAATTTGCTTCACAAGATATACCTACATATATATTCAAACAAAACATTCACAAAGAAAATATGATGACTGACCACTTTACATGAGAAAAAATTTCCATAAAGCAAGTCATCCCAAAGAAAAAAATTCATGTAGGTTTGTAAAAGAAATGATCTCAAAATTTCTATTTTTAAATAAATTAAGAATCCCTAGCAAAACCTCTTTAAAGTAAAAAATTGTTTAAAAAAAGTTAACTCCAACTACTCGACATATAAATATTTTTACTTGCTCTATAAAGTTTTGAGCATATAGCTTTACAGTATTAAACAAAACCAGATCAGTATCAAAGTAAGATTTTAAAATTTTTGTCACGTTCTAAAGTTTCTTAATCTATCTTGTGTCGATACAATTTAATTCTTGAAAATTCCATTCAAAACTAATGCATGTATAAGTTTAGAAGTTACTGTTCCCCACAAAATATGGATAAAGAATCGAAAATATTTAAATTGAATTTGCCGTAACATTGTTTTTTATTTTAATTCCAAACACGAGTATTAAAAGTCAATTTGAAAATTTAACATAGCATTTGAAAATCAGAACAATTCCTCATCTTCTTATTTTGGATATGAATATCAGGCATTTCAATTTTCAATGTGCTTGAATGCATTCTACAACTCAAAATACAGAAAAGAAGACTTCTCATGAAATATTCAGCTTGATGTGCATATTTGAACAACATTATTGAATTGTGTTTTGTGTTTTCGCATGAGGTATTAGCATTTCCACATACTTTTCCAAATCAAGATCCAATTTGTTGCGGTTACTTCCATTATTGAAAATTTGCCTCATGTTCATTTAGAGTTTTCCAAGAAGTTTGAGTGAAGATGAGATTAAAGGTATTAAAGCTTTTTCAAGTAAGCTGGAGTAGCTCTGTGGAGCAGGGGTTTAAAATTTCCATTACTCAATTAATTTGACAATACTGCCTGAACTTTATCTTATCGAAAAGGCTTATAAAAATGATTTTGAGGTGGTTTTCTGTTTGGATTCGGGCCAACACCCTCACAAATACAAAGACTAGAGGTTTTTAATCAGTTGCTTAGCTCTAGCTCTTCCCATTAATTGAAAAATTACCTTCATATAACTTGATACCTTAGATCCCACACGCTCCTGACACAAAACAATTCATATCAATAGAAAGACCAAAGCTTACATGCTTTATTATATTCTCCGTAGTCTCAGGCACTAAACTACAACTAGACATAGAAAAAGCTGTAATTTTACCCTCAATTCTAACCTTTAAATAGACCATTACATAGTGTTATCGAAATATTTAAAAGAGGAACTACATTAGTATCATAAAGCACTATTAGGATCCATTTTATGATTGCATGGGATTTATTTCCAAAGAAGCAATAATGTATGGAATAAAAGCTGACTATATTCAATGCATATAAAATGATGCTAAAATATGCTTAATAAGGCTTATATGGCAGAATTATGTATCAGACTATAACATCAATTTTATCGTAGCGACGTTAATATTCTCATCAAAATTTTCAACGAGTTTTGTTGGAAAGCGAAAAATTTACATGAAATTTTCTGAATAATTCTTCAATTTTCCCGAGCTCTTATGGACTTAATTTTAAAATTTCCGAGAATAAAATCACATTTAAAATTCGTCCATGTTCCAACTCGATGGTGAGTCTATTCCCATGATAGCATATAAAAGTTGAATGTAGAATAAATTATTCTAACATACAGCATAGAATGAAATAAAAGAATAAAAGTTTTCAAATTTTAAGGCAATTCCCATTTCAAATCCTCTTTCTGAGATCCCAATGGAAGTGAAGCAATAATCATAGAAGTGTGACATTTGATAAGCAAAAATTGTATAAGACTACAAATGTATTTGCAGATTTTCATACATGAAAACATGTACAATTATTTATTTAAATATTATTTTACTACATGTATTAAATTTCAGCTCAACACATCTTCTTCTATATCATGTAAATTTAATTTTCATTTCTATTTGATTAAAGCATTTGCATGCATGTTTAACAATACCAGTATTCTTCAACAAATTTCTTCTTTTTCTTCTCCTTATTGCCACCATTATCATCCTTACTCATATACATACATGCTAGTTAGAGGTTCAAATCTAATGCAATTTTACAGGCGATAATTTTTTGAAATTTTCTATCCAATTTAAGTTGAAAGTTTCAATGATGTTCACAAATGAGTCTAGTAGTTTAAAACTGTTTCATAAGATGTTCTGAAGGGTCGTTCATAAATGACGTCTAACGAGAATTGGAATGTGTTGGTTCCTTTGTGTTATCGAATGTCACTCAGCTCTAAAAGCCTCGAAAAACTATAAAGCTTGTTGTTTTTTGGTTAAAGACGTTTAGGAAAGAAGCCATGGATTGATGATCGATCAACGGTACAACCTTTAATGAGGACTATTTTAATGATGAGAATATAAGTAAGCAGCATTATCTAGATATTATTGGTTTCATTAAGGACATAGAAGACTTGGGATGATACAACATATCATCGATCGCAGTGCCGATTTTGTTTCAAGCAAAACCCTACTTTACTTTCTTTTCTAACGATTCGTCTTTAGAGCCAGAATCTTGCACAAAACTCGAAATTATTAAGTTTGATCCTGGATGCTTTGTTTTTCAACATCTTTATATTTTATCCTGTGTAAGTAAAGCTGCCAAGACGATATTGACCAAATAGTTGATCAACAGTCTTCATAATTGTAATTCTATTACTTTTGCGTGGACGTAGGCTCGATTCCCAACAGAACTTGATCTCTCAATCTTTCCATTTTATACTGTCAGCAAGACTAGGATTCACACAATGCTAGCCGACATTTCAATGTCGAAATTTTGATACAGATAAGAAAGTTTAAAAATCAATTTTAATTGACATCATTTTCAATCGACCCATCTTCAAAAACTTAATTGTATCTCTATGTGTACTCAAAATAGTTTGACATGACAGCAACATGTGCAAACCTCAAATCAATTTCTACATTTTGTGTCTACAACAAATTCACGAGAATTGAAAACCACTACAGCATCATCATCAGTAGTAGTAGTATCATCAGAAGCAGAAGTAGGGGAGGAAAAGAAATAGAAACTAAACAGAACTAAGTAGTACAAATGTTGAAGTACAATAGATAGAGACTAGATATGTACAAATATTGATTAAAGAAAATTGAGTTTGTGCTAAATGTGATCATTTAAAGCAAAAGGATTAGTAATTTTAAAAAAAAAATGCTCTTTATGCTTCAAGAACTATCGTCAGTCGGAGGAGCCAAAGTATACATACTCAGATGAATTGAAGAAAGAAACGAATGAGAGGAGAGATGAACAAAAAAAAAATAGAAGCGAGAATAACGTGGAAGCTCTTAAGGGATGAAATTATTTAATGAAGCTTAAAGCAATTCATTTTGAGTATCTCTTGAAGCAAAATTCAATTCCATTGAGTATCATACTTTCTATGTTTGCACTGCATACGACCTCAATTGTGTATCATCATCATTACCACCGAAAAAAAATAAATATCTATATATATATAATAAAAAATGAAAAGAATGA